TACCACCAGGAGCAACAGTAATAGGAATACCAGTACTATTGCAACAATAAATACAACAAGCAGTAGCAGCATCAGCAGTAATATTAAAAGGAATACTAGTAAAATAACTACCAAAGTCAGTGCAAGTAGAGTAATAGCCAATAGGAATAGTGAAAGTAGGAACAGTAATAGTAGGAACAGTAATATTAGGAATAGTAATAGTAGGAATAGTAATATTAGGAACAGTAATAGTAGGAACAGTAATATTAGGAATAGTAATAGTAGGAGTAGTAATATTGGGAAAAGTAATAGTAGGAACAGTAATATTAGGAATAGTAATGGTAGGAGTAGTAATATTGGGAATAGTAATAGTAGGTGTAGTAATATTGGGAATAGTAATAGTAGGAACAGTAATATTGGAAAACGTAATAGTAGGAGTAGTAATATTGGGAATCGTAATAGTAGGTGTAGTAATATTAGGAATCGTAATGGTAGGAACAGTAATATTAGGAATAGTAATAAGAGGAGTAGAAATAGTAGGAATAGTAATATTAGGGACAGTAATAGTAGAAATAGTAGGAACACTGAAACCAGGACAAGCACAACTGCGATAATCATTACCATTGCCATTAATAACATAACCACCGTAACAATTGCCATCATCATTACCTACACTACAGCCAGCATTACTACAACTAGCACCTCCAGGTCCATTACCAGGAGTAACATAACAAATACAACCAGTTGGAGGATCTCCATTTGTAGCATGCATGGTTAAAAGTAATGTGACAAAGGCACCTGTTATACCTTTGATCATTTCTGTTGGCTTATATGTGTGTTGAACGTTGAAAAAATGACGACAATTTCTGATGTTACATATTATTCATCTTAATATATGTAGGAGTCAATCGGAGAGAAAATAAAAAATAAAAAAAAATATTATTTTGTATGTCTTACATATCTATTTTTACATATATACGTATATTTTTTTCTTTCTTTTCTATAATTATAGACATGCCCAAAGTATCGTCATATTCACTAATGACAAAATAATGGCTGTCTCTGTTAGATGAATGTTTAAAGATTCATTTTCGAAGTAGCGTGAAAACGAAAAAAATTCTTCTGAGTAATAGAAGATAGAATATTTATTTTCATTGAGAAGTTTAGCTGTTGTGCTACTCAAATGCTATCACTAATAACTAAACCAAAAATCGAATTCCTTGCCTCAAATGCATTATTATTTCGTCATTGTTCAGATATAGTTCTACATATATTTTATTTGAGTTTCCTTTCGTTGCTTTTGATTCTTTCGCATGAAACAGCTATTATTATTGTACAGATACCATAACCTAGCATCGTCGTCACACGATATTCAAAGCATGAGTATGAAAGTAATAATTTCCTGTTCAAGGTTTTTCTCTTTTCATCGTTCTTATTATATTTTGATGATTATACACAGTGGTGGCCCACCATGCATAAAAAAGACCAAAAACAAAAATGTTGAAACCAAAAAATATCGAAAATAACTAACGAAAGAAAAAATGTCGAACCTATTAAAATATCGAAAAGTTAGAAGATACTGTAGATAGATAATTTATTACTGAGGGTAAGGATGAGGAGAAGAGTAGAGTAATCCTCACACCAGAGATGGGCAAGTCAAGTCAGACTTGACTTGACTGGAAGATTTTTTTTGAACTAGTTATGACTTGACTTGCCAACAATCGTGACTTGACGTCACTTGAAACTGTGTCGTGCCAAAGACGGTCAAGTCAAGTCAAAATGCATATACATAGAGGACTTTTATGAATTTAATTTTTGATCTCTAATTTGAAGCGTACTAGAAAAATATAAATAAAAAATAGTAAATATTGCTATAAACCGAGTTCAAGATAAAAGAAGACTGAAAAACGTTCCATTAACTAAGCGACATTTTTTAACTCGTATTGGTCATCTAATTTCCCAATGAGATGCTTTTCGAAAGTACATTAATTTTTTCGCAGTATGTTAATTGAATTAGAAAGCTTTTTTGCTAACTTATTGTTAAAATTTTAATATGGATCAGCAGAATAGTACTATCGAGAGTTCATCTCCATCAAATGATGAACTCGAAATACAAGAAACAGAACCAATTATCACCACAGCAACTACTTCTGAAAGTTTATTATCAAGTTTGTCTATACCTAAAACTGCTCGTGATAAATTTTTTGAAGATCTTCAACATGAAAAGGACAAAAACAGATGGTCAGCTAAATGCTTACTATGTGAAAAGCCTAAAAGAGTTATAGACAAGTTGGAAGTTACGTCAAATTTTACTCGATATGCTCGAGAATATCATAAAGAACAGTATGATCAATGGTTAAATGAATATAAACAAGTTAATTGAGTTGTACAAAAGCATAAAATTACTAATCATTTTCAAAAAAAAAAGTCATTCACCTGTTCATCAATCATATGGTCCAAATCATACTCGACAAGTCCAGTTATCTATGGCTATTGTGAACGATTTAATTATTAATTTAGGCTTGCCCTTATCAATTGTGGAAAGACCAGCATTCATCAGTTTCATACAAAAAGTTGATTCAAAATTCATCATGACAAGTCGAAGGACATTAACTCGAACGACAATACCTTTTTTATATGATAAAATGAACGACCATTTAAAAAGGTTTTGTTCAACAGCTACTTTTTTATCTTGAGCATTAGATGTGTGGACTGATCGAAAGATGAGATCGGTTTTTGCAGTAACTGGTATGATATTTTTTTAACAAAATATAGCTCCTAATATAGTTTTGTTGGCTTCCAGCACATGCTGCCATCGATGGTAATTTTAAATCCTACGTTTTATGTTTTGTTCCATTATGGGGAAGTCATTCTGGTTCATGATTACTTCAAAAATATGAAGAAATTATTAATGCATTTGGAATTAAAAACACAATTAGTCGTATAGTTACTGACAGTGCTGCAAATAACATTCGTACATTTCAAGGTATGATCATTCCTGGTTTTGAGCAATACTTTGTTCAAGATGATAATGATGAAATAAATGATGAAGATGATAGTGAATCAGATATGAATAATGGAGAAATTAGTGATGAATATGAATATCCATCAGATTTTTCGTCAACAACAATCAGCTCATCAACATATATTGATTTAACACTTAATGATCTTATTCAAGAGTCATTTAATAGATTGATGGAAAACAACGAAGTGTTTAGAATTCCGTGCTTTGCATATACCATTCAGCTGGTAGTGAAAGAGGGTTTACAAGAAACTAAATCAATTTTAGGTGCTTTAGAAAAAGTTTCTTTAATTACAAAACTTGCTCATACCAACACAAAATTTGCAGAAAAATTAGATTTAATGAAAGTATCTATTCCTCGTGCTGTAATCACACGATAGAATTCTCAATTCATTTGTGTAGAACGAATTCTTTCTATACCATCTATTGACTTAAATGAAGTTTTGACTCAATTAAAATACAAAAATTTGTCTTTGAATACACGTGATTTATCTATGCTACAAGAGTTTGTTGCTTTATTATCGTTATTTGCTGAAGCAACAACAGCCACACAACGACAAAATTCTCCATCTATATCGTTTGTGGCACCAAGTATATTAGCTATTTATTTTGATTTAATCAATGAAAAGAAAAATATACAATATACAACAGCATTATGTGATGCTTTATTATCTTCATTATTATCAAAATTTGGTGGTTTACTTGAACAAATGGAAGTTGACCTTAATGAACTTAATATTAATTTTCAAATGAAGGAAAAGTTTTATGATCTTTATAAAGATCTAGTTTTTCTTTTTTCTTCGTTCCTCGATGGAATGTTTAAAATTCATTGGATTACTGAATCTTTACTTCCTGATTCAACAAAAGAACGACTATGTGAAAAAATTAACAACATAGTATTTGATCATTGTTTTCTTATTGAATATGAACATCGTGCTCGAACTGTTCCAGTTGATATAAATTTAACAGAAATACATCAAGAAGTACAAAGTACTTCATTATCAAGCTCAACTAGTTCTAAAAGAAAATGTCTGTTTGGAAATATTAAAAATGATATAACACTTACCAAAAAAAGTAAAAATTATTGATTCATATAATTTCATTAAAGAAGAAATATCAATGTACATTAATGACGATAATAATGAGAGTATGATTCTTATAAATTCAACATCATCTCTTTCATACAAAACATTGGCTAAGCTAGATGTCAAGTATTTATGTATCCCAGCAACATCGGCTGCAGTTGAGAGAACGTTTTCTCAAAGTGGCTTCCTCTTTCGTTCTCATCCTGCTCGTATGTCACGAAAGATCCTTGAACAACTCACATTATTAAAATGTAATAATGACATGGCATAATATATTGGGTGTGGGTGTCGGTGTGGATGTGAGATAACACAAGACACGCAGTCATACCGACACCCTCATCAGAAGATGCGGGAAGATGCACCTATGGAAGATGCACACATCTTCTTAAGAGGTGTGCGAGAGATGGACACTTCTCTACAGCAGATGCAGTACTATGTAGTAAATTGGGTATTGGTTTGCATCTCCACATGTCTGCTAGCATCTCCTGCATCCCCGATTTCTCGGATATGTGACACTACTCAGCAAAAAAAATTGAAAATTATTTTTCATGAGAACTGAAGTATCTAGTTTCTTGAGCAGATTCCGAGAGGAAACAGTGAAGGATAGACAGTGGTCGATTTTTAATAAAATGTTTATTTTTGATTAAATCCATTTTATCGCACGTGGTCTGATTTTTTTCTTTGATTTCTGTCGACAGATAGTCGAATTAGCTCATGTTGGATGGTTGAATGTTTTGTGGGAAGCATTCAAGACAATGATGATCTCACTAGAATTAAAAATTTTCTCCACTGGTATTGCGTGCGGCTCTTTTGATAGATGAATACCGACAGATTTCATTTTCAGCAGCAATAAGAAGTTGATGAACTCCGACAATCCGATTGAATCATCGATTAGTACTTGCTCGGTGAGAAAATGAAGCGTAAAGTGAGACATTTCATTGAATCGACGATAAAGAACAAGCAAAGAAATATTGTGTGTATTATTCAATAACCAAATAAATATTTTTATTTGCTCAATAGTGATGTCAAAATCATACAAAATCCTCTAGTCAATGAATATGTAACATATTTTTATTAACCGAAAAGTATTTTTGCTATTCGTCTACTATTCGAATTCATCTTTATTAACGACGACTTGCGCTTGATGAGTCAGAAGTCGATATCGGTGCCCATGCTGGACACGGATTAGCAAAAAGATTCGGATTCGGAATACGAGCAACGATGTTGAACAGACGTGTAGTAGTAAATGTACTGTGATCAGGCGATGAGAAGTCGATTCTGTCTCAAACATACACAAATATTGTAGGAATTCAGATCTACACTTGATGACAGTTCACTCACCTCACAACAGTGTTTGTATCAATATACACCGTGGCACTTACTGTACCTATCAATAGACTCCATGCTTGCAGTGGTGGTCGATCAGCATAAAAAATATTATCAGGAATGAGTCCGACAAATGTGGCTTGAGACGCCACGAGAATGGACGGTGAAAAGAGTGGGTAGGCAGGGGTTACATTGTAGAATGCACATGAGCCTGGTGAAGCTGTCGTCGGAGCCAACGTGTATCTAAATGAGAAAAAAGTGCAATTGTTTTCGTTGCACATCCTCAGGACTTGATAAAACTCAATCGAGAAGTTGGACATGATTATACTCACATATAATTTGGAACGGTTCCATCAGGATTAGAATGTGCGTAGTCGAACAATGAACTAACAATTTGACCTCCATAAGTAAGATCAATTCGAAGTTTTCCGGTACTGATACCAGCATAGATCGTGCCACTGACAATGTGTGAAATGCCAGTTGCATCCCACTTGTGCTGTACGAATGAAGCTTCATACTCGGAAACGATTGTACTCGGCGGCTCGGGTGCTCGAAAATCAGATGCAAAGAGACGCAGCGAAGCCATAGTTGTGTGACAGCATATCATCAGCATCAGGATGGCACATGAAACGGATTCAAAAAGGGTACGCATGATAATTGATTATTTTCTCCGATAAGAATATCTACAAGAAGTGGAAAGAAATCGAGTGAGTCTCAACATTCGTATATATGTGACAGACTAACATAAATATTCAAAGGCAAACATAAATAAGACTCATAACTCGAACGAAATGGATGAGTCAATAATTGCACACCCAGGTGACGTCATTGTTCTTCCTTTCTTTCACCAGTGTTGTTCGTGAGTGGGATGCGAACGAAAATGAACGCGACATAACAAATACATCAAATATTACACAATAGAAACACAAATATAGAAGCGAAACCGACGAAAGCAACGTGTTGCAGACAGCAGAACGAAAATCTGTCCAATTAAATGTTTGGAAGCTCTCATTCTGCATGTTCTGTATACCAGAGTAAAATATCAACAAACAACCATGAGCCGCTGTGATCAAGACAAACTTGAAAATTGCACTAAAACATCTCGAATGATGAGTAGCTGCCTAATTCAACTTATAATATAAGTTAGATTTGTCTGCCAGGCTCTTTTCTGTTTACTTATAAATAAATAAATAAATAAATGAATAGGTTTCGATCGATAAGTGATCCGACTTGTAAAAATCGACACTTTAGTATAGAGGATGTGGGTGTGGATGTAGATCTTCTATTCTTCCACATCCAAACTCTCGATTCAATGAACCAAATTTAGATTTGTAGGTTCGTTTTTGTCCTTGCGAAAAATCAATTGTGACAGATACAAGAATAAAACCTTCTATCTTTCAACGCAAAGCAGCGAAAACCCATTAGGGAATGGATTGTTATCGACGAACGCGATAATCCATGATGTAATTTAATTCAGAGGAGATTTCTCTCTACAATCTTCTGAACATGTGAAGAAACGGTGTGAGTTAGATAATTGCTCTATTTGGACTTCAAGATTAATTGCTAGTGACTATTGAAAATACTTCATTATTATGCAAAGAATTTCTCGCAAAGCTCTAGCATGTTGGGCAGTCAACCGAATGTAAATTTTCTCCAATACTACATCTTCAAATCTGATATTTCAAAACTAACTTTCACTTTGCTCTCATTGTATTTTAGCTTTAATGATCATTCTTGTTACCGTATAGTACGATTTTACATCGCTCTTCCCTCACAAGCTGAATTGTTCTTTTGAAAAATGAGTTTTTCTAGGCCTTATGAACTGAAATACTGATTACGCTCAATGGTCTGCTATCAAATTGAATAAATGAGATGGACCCTTATTCAATCCTACGCAATTTATTGTCTCATTCGAGTGAGCTAGCATTGCTTAGCACATAGCTCTGGCTAGGTACCACGAATCAGAGTCGTGCCATTTCTTTCCTATAATAGCATTGACAAAAAGCCGTTCATAAAAAGCCAGCCTCACAATATTTCAACATTGTGTAGTAATCAGAACGGAAGGCACCAAAAGACGGTTTCGTGAAATAGTGATCAGTAGGCGTCCCGTTGCACGAGGGAATCTTGCAATGGTATTCAGAGGGGCATCGCATTGATTGAGGGTACCTCAACATACAATTCAGAAGGCATTTCATTGCATGAGGGTAGCTCGAAGAGCGAAACCATTGACTAGCACCGTCCAAAATTAAAAAAAGTGATCATGATAAAACGGACGTTAGCAACGAATATTCAGGTCCCCTTTATATAATTATAATGTATCATCGACAACAAATACTTTCTTCCAGAGAAAACGACAGTCAAGATTTCAAACCACATCATCTTACCCATCCATTCAAATTATACATAAATCTTTAACGCACCACCTAAACACCTACGAAAACCTTGTAATACCTCTCAGTAATGAGAGTGTATGCGTACCTATCCCACACCCTCGCGTATTCATGTCATGCTGACAGTATATAACGTATCAGCGGAGCATCGATAAGGGCACGCTTCACCACCTCAACACATAGGCACCTAACAACCTCAGAAACAAGAGTATATCGGCTGACTTGTGAAGTGAACATCTTCATCACCTCACAACCTCCACAGATAGAATAGATCAGTTAACCTGTGAGGTGAATACCTTTCACCACCGCACAACTTCAGGACATACAGCTGATCGGCTGACGAGTGACGTGAATACCGTCCTTGACGTGAAGGAAGACTGATCATGATAAGGGTTGGTCATTGTATCAAGTGTGCGTGGCTAGATACTGGGTGTAATGAGATTGTGACACCGCTCAGAGGTCAATCGATGAAAGAACTAAAGAAGAGAAAGGTGAACGGATAATTTTCGTTACGCCCACTCAATGTGGCGTCTCTAATTCACTTTGTACAAAATCATCCTTGTTATTGAGGAAGAATATACATACCCACATGCTTTGCCATTTTTGGCCAGTAAACATATAACTATTTGGTTAACGTTTGTGGGAAGTTTCAGATTTCTTTATTATGGGGGCTCGGCGTCATAAAATTTACAGGCTCGAAAGTGACTTAAGAAAAACCGGCACTGAGACTTTCAGCAAATATCAGACTTCTTAATGATCTACTCACTTCAAAACAGTGTGCTAGACTTCATAAAATGATCCACAATTATATGGGGATTGAACGGTAGTAACGAAAGTTCTATTCAGTTATACTGCTCCTGAAAGAAACTTGCACGTTCATCATATAATCAACGAATTAATAGAAAATGAACGATAATAAGGATAGTTTCGATCCATTATTTTAGTCATTTGAAATTTAAGCATGATACTTTTTAAAATAATTTCAAGCCATACGAAAAATGCATGATTAGAACAAGGATTTTGTTCAATTATTCACCTGTGCAATGACGCTTGCGTAATGCTCGATGCACGCATTTTTGACAAAGCTAAAGAAAATTTCAATCACTCATTTTAGAAATATTAATTAGCAATGTCTCTTTGTATGAGATGGTCGACAATGTGATGATGTAGAGGATTGAAATTACACCATATAGTAGAAGCAATCGAATTTAGTTCGTGCAAATAGCTTATATCCTATGTGATGTCGAGAGATAAATTAATAACGAAAGTATCTGCATAAAATTTTAA